TACAGGGGATCATAAAGTTTCCAGTCTCAACGAACTTCCGGGCTTAGAATGCAGGCTTAGCATTTCATCTCAACCGCCAACTCAGAACCCCAATGAAGCAGGAGCCCAAGTTCTGCATGTCAGTACTCATTTGCTTCTCTGGGGCAGCTCCGGAGACGCATACGGAACTCATCCTATAATATCCTCCAAATGGAGCAGTACCAGTTCCGGTTGTCCCTGTGACACAGTTATCACAGAAAAATGGGCTTTTACCCCATGGGACAAACTGTAACGAATGAGACTTTCTATTGTAAAGGTAATGTGACTGTAAGGGTTCTCAAGTCACAAATCATCACTGAATCACGTTGGCAGCGAGTGGGTATGACAGTAGATCGTTAGTGGACCTCGTTTCTGTTGTTTATTGTCGAATTCCTTTGCAGTAGCCAAGACACTTATAATGTCCTTCTAGTTGAAATCTCTCCTCTATTCCAGTAGACCTGTTTATTTCAATATTGTAATCACTGTGCTCTACGACTTTATCGATATCAACTATGCTCTGCCTCTGCCTCGGTATACATATGTCCTATAGATGTTCTTTAGCTCATTTATCTAGCCATCTCACTGTCTTCAGAATGTATGTATGTTGAACCATATTGCCGACACAGTAGATAGATTACACTTCATAGTGCGCAATCAGCTGCTTTTGCATAGGGTCATATGATGCAATCATCTGTAATGCACTGTTTGCCATATATCGGATTCAAACTAGTTGCTGCTCGATATTGTTCAACTGCTCTTCAATGTTCAGTAATCTCTCTAGTCGTTGCGCAAGGTGTATCGAGAATCTGCTCACCACCTCCTTTGAGCACCAAACGCCAAGATATTTCCAAGTAGGTTGAGCAAGCTTGACCTCTTGTTCACCTTACTATACCGTACGCTTTCTGTCTTATTCTGACACTTAATTAACCTCTTTCGGCTGCGTCCCTTCTGATACGAGTCAATGTCTCACGCTTAGTTCTGAAGCTAGGTTATCAGGCGCTAGGGTGCTTGTCGAGCAGGACACCTACAACGCCAACCTGTCTGCTGACTTATGTTTGAAATACTCCTAGTTTTTCTTCATACTCGTGAACGACGTGTAAACGGCAATGTCTTCTCGTCTCGGTCAGTCCGTTGAGTTCGTACGAGACCTTCCTATCTTGCGTAATCAGATCTTTGTGTTTCTGATGGAAACGTTCAGTGCAGTGAAAGTACAGAAAGCCTACTCAGATCTCCTCCTTTCGGCAGCTTGTCATGGCTCTGAGCTCGTCAATCTCCTATTCTCGGCTGGCCGATTTCCAGAGCTATT